ATTGAATGTGGGTCCAGTGGCTGGTCTAGGGGTCTCAGTGAATGTGGGTCCAGTGGCTGGTCTAGGGGTCTCTGTGAATGTGGGTCCATTGGCTAGTCTAGGGGTCCCTGTGAATGTGGGTCCACGGCTGGTCTAGGGGTCCCTGTGAATGTGGATCCAGTGGCTGGTCTAGGGGTCTCTGTGAATGTGGGACCACAGCTGGTCTAGGGGTCCCTGTGAATGCGGGTCAACGACTGGTCTAGGGGTCCCTGTGAATGTGGGTCCAGTGGCTGGTCTAGGGGTCTCTGTGAATGTAGGTCCATGCCTGATCTAGGGGTCCCTGTGAATGTGGGTCCATAGCTAGTCTAGGGGTCCCTGTGAATGTGGGTCCAGTAGCTGGTCTAGGGGTCTCTGTGAATGTGGGTCAAAGGCTGGTCTAGGGGTCTCTGTGAATGTGGGTCAAAGGCTGGTCTAGGGGTCTCTGTGAATGTGGGTCAAGTGCCTGGCCCACAGGGCTCAGTAGAAGTTGGTGTTGTGAGGCCTCCTGTTCTAAGCCTGGAGCTTTCTAGTGTTGGCCATGTCTGTGTGTGTCCCAGGCCTCATTGGGAGAATCCCTGCTCGTCCTGCTCAGGTGCAGTCCCTCTGGAGGGCACACATGGGCCGTGTGATCAGGACTCTTGCTCCTGGAGGAGCGGCTCCTCTCCTCCAGTGCAGATAGCTTAGAGGCCACAGATTCTTCTCCAAGCAGTGACAACACTTGCCAGCGCTGTCACGTAATCTCCGTGCTTGCCTTATAAAATACTGTCACATCATCAACTTGCTCAGGGACGCTGCCCCTCCTGCTGCCTCCCGAGTCCACTGGTCTTATTAATTTACTCTTGGAGGACACGGGAGCTTATTTGTATATTTTGTACTAATCTCTCTGCAATCATGGAGCTGTCATTTCTGTCTTTCTCAGTGGCAATTGGATGTCAAGAATGATGGATCCACTCAGTTTGTTAGCTGACTTTAAGTTGTTTACCACTGGGGGGAGGAGTACTACAAAAAAGCTTCAAGCTAGGCATCCCTCACTCAGGCCTGTAATCCTAGCTACTTAGGAGGCTGGAATCTGTGGTTCAAGGTTTGAAGCCAGCCTAGGCAGAAAACTCTGTGAGACTGTTATCTCCAGTTAACCAGCAAAAGACCAAGTTGTAGAGTGAAAGTCAAGTAAGAGTGCAAGGCCCTGGATCAAGCTTCAGTAGCAGCATCAAAATAAATAAAAGCAGTTTGGAGTTTCCCTTTCACTTAAAAAAAAAAATAAAGTCCTTATTCGGTCCTCTGAGGAGGGGCCAGCTCTGGACCCTGACTACAGCTGCCCTTGTCCACCACAAACACCACTGCCACACAGCTCTGGGTCCCTGTACTGGCTGCTTTTCTGGGCCAGACAGAGCAGGAATGCTCATTAAAAAAAAAAACTTTTAGGCTGGGTGCTGGTGGCTCATGCCTGTCATCCTAGCTACTCAAGAAGTTGAGATCTGAGGATCTCGGTTCCAAGCCAACCCAGGCAGGAAAGTCCATGAGATTCTTATCTCTAGTTAACCACAGAAAACCTGACATGGCACTGTGGCTCAAATTGTAGAGTGCTAGCCTTGAGCTGAAGAGCTCAGGGACAACGCCCAGGCCCAGAGTTCAAGCCCCATGACCGACAAAAAACTTAAAGATTCCTCCATATCAAAAAAAAAAGAAAAGCATTTTTATAGCCAGTGGCCCAGTGGCTCACACCTGCAATCCTAGCAGAGAATCGTGGTTCAAAGCCATCCCAAGGCAGAAAAATCTATGAGACTGTTTTCTCTAATTAGCTACCAAAAAGCCAGAAGTGGAGCTGTGGCTCAAGCAGTAGAGCACTAGCCTCAAACAACAACAAAAAGCTGAGATATAGCACCTAGGTCCCGAGTTCAAGCCCCAAGACCAGCACAAAACGTAAAAACATAAGAATCACTTTTCTATTTTCTGTTAAACCCACAGGTGGGAGGAGCTGGTGGCCGGGGAGATGTTAAAGGGAAGTATTCGCTGTGAAGGAGCACAGTCTTTATTATTTCAGGACAGGCAACTATAAAGGTGAACACGAGGGAAAGATGCTTTATCAAATGTTACAGAGAGGATCTTTTTCTAGCACCTAGACTAGTAATTAAATCATGCAGATGACGACGGTCGAATCACTTAAAGCACCCTCTGCCCTGCGATTGCTTCACACCCCACGTTTCACGCACACTCAGTCCTCGATCCACGGCTTTCACAGCAGGATGTGACACTGGCTGTTTGTGCTTCAGAACTTGCCAGGCGTTCGCGACACTTGCAAAAGCACACACACACAAGAGCGCAGGAGTGTGGCACTGGTGCGCTGGCTCATCCCGCCTTGAAGCTTAAAGAGCTGCGTGTGGGAACGGGGGGGGGGGGGAGAGCAGGGAGACTGGCAACCTGGCTGCTTAATTCATGTTTGAGAAACAGGGAAGTGTGCGGGGCACTCAGCAGTGTGAGTCTCCACTGCCTCAACTGCAACTCACAGGGAAGCATGTGGCCCCGAGGGTCTGCCGTGGCCCTGCTGGTCTGCTGTGGCTCTGCGGGTCTGCCCTGGCCCTGCAGGTCTGCTGTGGCTCTGCGGGTCTGCCCTGGCCCTGCAGGTCTGCCCACATTCTGCAGGTCTGCCGTGGCCCTGTGGGTCTGCCCACGCTCTGCAGGTCTGCTGTGACCCTGTGGGTCTGCCTTGGCCCCGAGGGTCTGCCATGGCCCCAAGGGTCTGCTGTAGCCCCACGGGTCTGCCGAGGCCCGCGGGTCTGCCGTGGCCCTGCAGGTATGCTGTGGCTCTGCGGGTCTGCCGTGGCCCTGCAGGTCTGCCACAGCCCTGCGGGTCTGCTGTGGCCCCGAGGGTCTGCCGTGGCCCTGAAGGTATGCTGTGGCTCTGCGGGTCTGCCGTGGCCCTGCAGGTCTGCCCACGCTCTGCTGGTCTGCCACGGCCCTGCGGGTCTGCTGTGGCCCCAAGGGTCTGCTGTGGCCCCGCGGGTCTACCTTGGCTCCACGGGTCTGCCATGGCCCCGCGGGTCTGCCATGGCCCCCAGGGTCTGCCGTGGCCCCGCGGGTCTGCCATGGCCCCCAGGGTCTGCTGTGGCCCCGCGGGTCTGCCGTGGCCCTGTGGGTCTGCTGTGGCTCTGCAGTTCTGCCAAGGTTCTGCGGGTCTGCCATGGCCCTGCACATCTGCTGTGGCCCCGAGGGTCTGTCGTGGCCCTGCAGGTCTACCTTGGCTCCACGGGTCTGCCATGGCCCTGCGGGTCTGCCATGGCCCTGCGGGTCTGCCGTGGCCTGCGGGTCTGCCGTGGCCCTGTGGGTCTGCTGTGGCCCTGCGGGTCTGCTGTGGCTCTGTGGATCTGCCGAGGTTCTGCGGGTCTGCCCACGCTCTGAGGGTCTGCTGTGGCCCTCCGCGTCTGCTGTGGCTCTGTGGGTCTGCCAACGCTCTGCGCGTCTGCTGTGGCCCCGAGGGTCTGCCGTGGCCCCGCAGGTCTGCTATGGCCTCGAGGGTTTGCCGTGGCCCCAAGGGTCTGCTGTGGCCCTACGGGTCTGCTGTGGCCTCGAGGGTCTGCCGTGGCCCTGCAGGTCTACCTTGGCTCCACAGGTCTGCCATGGCCCTGCGGGTCTGCCATGGCCCTGTGGGTCTGCCGTGGCCTGTGGGTCTACCGTGGCCCTGTGGGTCTGCTGTGGCCCTGCGGGTCTGCTGTGGCTCTGTGGATCTGCCGAGGTTCTGCGGGTCTGCCCACACTCTGAGGGTCTGCTGTGGCCCTCCACGTCTGCTGTGGTTCTGTGGGTCTGCCCACGCTCTGCGGGTCTGCCGTGGCCCCGCACGTCTGCTATGGCCTCGAGGGTTTGCCGTGGCCCCAAGGGTCTGCTGTGGCCCTACGGGTCTGCTGTGGCCTCGAGGGTCTGCCGTGGCCCTGCACGTCTGCTGTGGCCCCGAGGGTCTGTTGTGGCCCCGAGGGTCTGCCTGGCCCCTAGGGTCTGTCATGGCCCTGTGGGACTGCCATGGCTCTGTGGGACTGCCGTGGCTCCGTGGGTCTGCCGTGGCTCTGCAGGTCTGCCATGGCCCTGTGAGTCTGCCATGGCCTCGAGGGTCTGCCATGGTTCTGTGGGTCTGCCATGGCCCTGCGGGTCTGCTGTGGCCCTGCAGGTCTGCCATGGCCCTGCGGGTCTGCTGTGGCCTCGAGGGTCTGCTGTGGCCCCGAGGGTCTGCCGTGGCCCTGCGGGTCTGCCGTGGCCTTGTTCTGTGGGTCTGCTGTGGCTCTGCAGGTCTGCCGTGGCCCCGAGGGTCTGCTGTGGCCTCGAGGGTCTGCCATGGTTCTGTGGGTCTGCTGTGGCCTTGTTCTGTGGGTCTGCTGTGGCCTCGAGGGTCTGCCATGGTTCTGTGGGTCTGCCGTGGCCCTGCGGGTCTGCCGTGGCCTTGTTCTGTGGGTCTGCTGTGGCCCTGCGGGTCTGCCGTGGCCCCATGGGTCTGCCGTCCTGCCTCCACCCTTGGCAGGCGTGGCCTCGCTGAGTAATCAGGACTGGAAATGGTGCGGGACCCTCACAGCGTGTCCACCTTCGGAGGACAGGCCCCCTGCCAGCTTTCTCATCCGCGGACACCCGTGGCCTCTGTGATCAGACCCTCCGGGCAGTGCAGCGCGTGTGTGGCAGGAGGGAGAAAGTGGGATGTTTCCAGTGGAGCTGCCACTCACTGTCCGGGCCCCGCTGAGGCAGCCGTGGCCGTGGGGGGACACAGGCCCAGGCAGGAGGAGGAGGCAGCGGGGCTTGGAGAATGGACACACATCCCCGCTCCTTCACATTTTCTGTGCCTCTCACCCATCCCCTCGTGGCAGAGTGAGAGCCCCTCCCTCCCACGCTGGGGCCTCCATGAGGCCACAGCCCCAGTGCTCCTTGGGAAACAGAATGCTGTGCATCGTGGGGTTGCCTTTGGCCTCGCTGGTCATCCTGACTGTCCCCCTCCTCTCCTCTTACAGTTGAGTTCAGCAGCTGTTTGGGGACCAAGGGCACCCAATATGAGACCAACAGCCTGGACTTCAAGGTGGGGACGGACGGGACGGTCTTCGCCACCCGCGAGCTGCAGATCCCGTCGGAACAGGTGGCGTTCACGGTGACGGCACGGGACCGCCAGACAGCCGAGCAGTGGGACGCCCTGGTGCGGCTGCTGGTGGCCCAGACCACGGCCCCGCACTCCGGACACAGGGTAAGACCGCGCCCAGACACCGGGGGCCCCTCCTCCCGAGGGTCCTGGGGGCGGCTCCCCGCTGGGCACTGAGGGCCACGCTGTCCGCAGCCTGGCCTCGCCCTTCCTGACAGCGCTGTCACGGTGGGCGCAGGCCCCGGGCTCGGCCTCGCCCTTCCTGACAGCGCTGTCACGGTGGGCGCAGGCCCCGGGCTCGGTCTGCCTCACTGTGCCTCCATCTCCACAGTCTCAGCATCATTTGTGTGCACCCTGCGCTGGGTCTGCGGGTGGACAGGAGGGACGGCTGGTGTCCCCCCGCTCCTCAGCACTCTGATCCTGCTTTGCGGGCCACCCAGGGCCGGGCCTAGCAGTGTGTGTACCTCGCCGTCTGTGTCTGTCAGGAGCCAGCAGGGCCTGTCCCCCCCTGCCCTGCCTGGAGTCTCTGCAGCTGCATTGTCCTCGTGGCCTAGGATGGGGAGGGGAGGGGGGCTCGCTGAGAGGGCAGCCTGGGGATCCTCGGCATGGAGAACATGAAGTGTCCGTGCCCGCAGTAATGGGAGGGAGGGGGGATTCAAGGCCCACGTGGCAGTCACTGCCACCGTGTGTGGTCAGAGCACAGAGCAAGAGGCCTGGCTGCGCGTGTGGATGTCCTTGGAAAGGCGTCGGGCTGGGAAGGTTGACAGAGTGGGACTGGGGCTGTGGCATGTGTTCTATCCTGGACCCACCGTGACTGCAAGTTCTGTGAGACTCCAATGGGAAATCATCGACAAGTGTTCCCAAACCTGTCTCACCAAGGAACCCTTCTCCAGGGAACAGCTTGCAACACAAGTGCCGAGGATTCCACCTTGGGAAACCCCCAGTCTGGTCTTCTGTCCTGAATTCAAGTGAAGGTGGGTTGGGTCAGATGAGAAGCAGGAAAGCAGGCCAGGAGAACAGTATGCACCCACTGGGAAGGAGGGCGTGAGTGGTCTTGTGCAGAGAACCCGTGTCTAAACTCCTCTCTAGCTGTGAGCCCCCCCCACCATCGAGAGCCCCCACAGACGCTACAGACTCCAAGTCAGGTAGCATTGCTCACTCTTTCCTGTGCAACAGTTAAAAGCCACACCCCAGTGAGAAGCCTGTGTGCAGCCGGCTCAGACATCCAGTGGGAGGTGGAGCCAGGGAGCTGCAGGGTAGGACTTGGCTCCTGCCCACCCCGTGCCCCAAGCCCCTGAAGGTGAGGCTGAAACTCTGCACCTTGTGAGCAGAAAGCAGACTCTGGGCGGCATGTGGAAGGCCTCAGATAAAAGGTACTAATTGAAAATATAATGATGCCTTTTGTTAGGTGCTAATGAAGCAATTTCTGATGCAATTAATCCCTGCTCCTCCACAGAAGGTGCAGACAGTGGTGATGATTGCAATTAGGCCGTCTGCAGTTGGGGTGTACCCTCCTCCCCCCCACCACACACGCACATACACTGCAGACACACACAGTCAGGAACATACACATGCACACGTGTGTGAACACAGGCACGCACACTCACACACACCCCTGTACACAGAGTAGGCTGGCCTGGAAAGCGCCAACCTGCAAAAACTGGAGACACGGGCTGGGAAGGTGGCTCAGTGGTAGAGCGCTTGCCTTGCATGCATGAGGCCCTGGGTTCCATTCATCAGCACCACATAAGCAAAAAGAAAAAAGCTGCAAGTGGCGCTGTGGCTCAAGTGGTAGAGTGCTAGCCTTGAGCTGAAGAGCTGAGGGCCCAGAGTTCAGGCCCTATGACCAGACCCCAAAAAAGGAAACCAGGAGACCAGGGCAGGGCTCAGGCCTCTGTGAGCCTGTCACCCCCGTGGCGTGGAGGAGCTGGGAGGTCTCCACCCCCTCCCACCAGTCCTGCACTGCGTTTCACATCTCTCTTGTGGCTGGCAGGCCTCCATTGCTCTCGTACCCCACAGACCCCACCCCACATCCCCGGAGTACGTCCCCTCGGCCCCATCTCAGACCAGGGAGCTGAGCGGTGTGGCCTGGCCCCCGTCCTGGAGAGAACTCCTATTCAGAAAAGAGGAAGAAGTGGCTTTCTGAGCCCAGCCACCCCCCATTGGAGTTCCAATCTGGGCTTCTACATCCTCCTAGCTGGGTGTTTTGCAACAGTCCACACACCTCTGATGGGCTGTCCTGGAACAGGGAAGAGTTCTACACCTGGCTTCCGGTTGCCGGGACTACTGGTGTGCTGTACCAAACTGCATCTCAAGGTTCCATGGGTGGAGGAGTCCCAGAGAGAATCTCCCATTGCGGCCGTGGACATGGCCCCCTCAGGCACGGGCCCTGGGGGAGAGAGAATGGGAGACGATTGGAACCTAACCACTGGCTCTCTGTGAGACTCTGGGGCCCTCAACTGGTTTGACCTTGGCCGAATCGATGCGGCTTTGTGATAACATCACTGCCTGTTAGGGAATACACATCTGCAGATTCGGGATGATTGAAGAGAAAACTGGTGCAGTAAAGGATCTCAGGAGAAATAGGCTAAGTCTGCAGAGGAGGAACACACTGCAGGAGGGATGTGGGCAGTGGAAAGAAGGACTGGAAGGCATCAGCCCTGAGTATGAGAGGAAGAAAGAGAACGGAAATGGAGGAATGGTTGCAAAGCACTAGCAGAAAAATACTCCAAAAGCAGCAGCAGGTTCCGAACACCCTAACACTCTAGGTGGGACAAACAGAACTGAAATTGCACTTGGACTCTTTGTGGGAAAATAGCTCAAGTCCAAAGTCAAAGAGAAAAATCTCTAACACAGCAGGGGGAAAGAAAGGGTTTCCTGGAGCAGCGAGAGGCTGTGGCCAGGCTTCTCAGCACAAGCGGGGGCTGGAAGACAGCAGAAATATGGCTCAATTATCCAGGAGACCTCTCCTCCCAGAAGCCACCTTGAATCAAGACGTTTTCCACAAATCGCAGATGAAGAATCCGCCCCGCTCTGTTCTCGGGTCACAAGCTGAGCTGAAGGGAAATGTCAGAAATGAAGGAAGACTGAAGAGCGTGAACAGGGGCACAGAGAAGTGTGCATGCGTCAGGCAGCGTGAGATTTCCCGGGGTGTGCACGGATAGCTCCCACATTCACGCCAGGAAGAACCGGAGCGGGAGGAGCTGAGGAGGAGGCTCCACATCCCTTACTCAGAATACCTCGGGTGGTAGAATCTGTAATGAGGTGCCATGGGGCTGGAAGCATGTCTAAAAACAAAAGCACACCTTGTATACGTGGTACAAAGGGCACTTTATGTGATTTGTTTAACTGTGACCCCTAGGGTTGGGTGTGGGACTTCCCCTGTGTGTGTATGTGCACACATGCATGCTCGTGTGTGTGTGCACACGTGCGCGTGTGTGTGCACACACATGTACACGTACACGCACACGAGCATGCCAGTCCTGGAGCTTGAACTCAGGGCCTGGGTGTTGTTTTATTTTAGTCAAGACTAGCACTCTACCACTTGAGCCACAGCTCCACTTTCAGCTTTTTGTGGTTAATTAGAAAAAAGAGTCTCCAGGACTCTTCTACCCAGGCTGACTTCAAACGTGATCCTCAGATCTCAGCTCCTCCCATCAGCAAGGAGTGTAGATCTGAGCTACAAGCGCCCAGTGGAACTTCCTCATGTTCATGTCGTAGTGTAACTCAAAAAAGCTTTAGATTTGGAAGGTTCTCAGACTTTAGACGTTTAGATTAAAGTGTGTCGCAATAATGTATAAGCATTTGTTATGAAGTCTTTGAAAAATCACTGATCCATAGTATTAACCAGGCACCAGCTTCACATCCACCATCCTAGCTACTCAGGAGGCTGAGATGTAGAGGGTGACAAGTTGAGGCCAGCTCAGGGAAGAAAAGTCCATGAAGCTCCAGTTCCAAAATAACCAGCAAAAAGCAGGGCTGGAGAAATAGCTCAAGTGGTACAACATCAGCCAAGTAAGCAAGCCAATAGCAAATATGAGGCCCTGAGTTCAAACCCTAGTCCAGGGAGGAAGGAGGAGGAGGAGGAGGAGGAGGA